GCTTATATATAAAATATAAAGTTCTATGATTAATAATAACGTAATAGGTGGAGAACAATTATATTAATTAACTACTATTTATAATTATTCTGCAGCATTCTAAGTGGGTGTTTGGTAGTGATTAAAATTAGATTTTTAGCAGATTGTGATAGAAATTTTTAAAATGTATGGTTGAAAAGTTGTGGGACCCATAAAAGATGTTGTTAATATTGATTAATGATTATCAATCCCATGTAATAGATCTCACGAAACATTATTCATAACAGTTATAAATATGAAATTAAAATTAATGTTTGATTTTGACTAATCTAAACGGAGGCTATAAGCGTGAAACACGTGGTAACGTTATAGCTTTGCCCATACATAACCCGTTTTTCTTTTTCTTTCTTCCTGCACGAATAATTTATAACGAATATTGAGATTTGAGATTCCATTTTGGGAAACTTTATCATTATTACGTCCGACAAAATAGTGGTGGCTGGTTCCACAAAAATCAATATTTGAATTTAATTTTTGTAATGTTATATTGAATCTTGAAGTTTCGTCTTAAAATATCAACCATTATAAGGCGAGCCATAGTTTGATTTTAACCCTAAAACCAAGAAATAACCCACTTGATAATTTGATATGTTTGAATGTGGAACCCTAATCGTTTTGCCTGTGACTTTATATACTTGGAGTCATAAACCACACAAAATACTCCTGCATTATTGCTTCTCAGTGTCATGTGTCATATTTTTCCATATCCTGTCAATGAAATGTCACTTCTTTACAAGTGGATTCTAAACCATATGGTTTTGTTTTGTACTCTAAAAAGTCTACAAAGCAACAATTTTCCGAAAGTTTTACTCCAAACATTCTTCCGTAAAATAATTTTACATATAAATTTAAAAAAAAAATTATATTTTTTAATTATACATTCCCCAAAAAAATCACTATTCCAAAACTTTTATTTTTATTCAAAAATGAAACAGGGCCTTCATTAAAGTAAGTATGACATCTTTTGGAATGACCCAAAAAAAAAAAAAA